ACCATCGATTCCTTGCCGATCAGTAAAGGCAGATACTCATGAACGGTAATGTGCTGAATTTGGGCAATAATAATTCGACGAGCCTCTTGATATAGCTGATCGTCACACCAATTCGGATTGAGTTCCTGGAGATACAGAGCACTGGATATTGCTCTTTAAGATGGCGATGTTCAGTTGAAGTTAAAGCATAAACATAAAAAAGTTACTCTAAGCTTCTGTGCCACTCTGTTATGCTGGAACGTCCATATTTCTCTTAGAAGCGTCGTGGATGTCAAAGAATCCTCGAACGGCACTGGATGGAAATCACTGGATTGAAGTTGGCCTAAGAAAGTAGGAACACTGAAGGGTTCAAATTGTAAGGAGTTTTTTAGACAAGAGCGTTTAGTCCTAGGTCAATGTCAGGACCATATTTCATAAGGACCGAATAAAGACTTTACCGTCCTCTAGAGTTCTTCTTCCTTCCGCTTCTTCATCGGTTCTGCCATAAACTGTAGATCCATCAATGAATGAGCTCACCATGTTCATTTGCTGTCTTGGTCCCAGTAAACACCTGTTTAGATCACTTACTAGACTCATTCCAATTGTAAACAAATCTTCAAACCTCAAGTTTTTACCCTACTGCGGATTGTCAACGAAAAATACAAACCTCTGATTTGGGGCCATTTGGCTCCTCACATAAGGGTAACACCCAAAAGACGATGGCCCCCTAAATATAATGATTTTCTTATAGGTTTCGATAATGTCGGGAATAGCTGGCGATATATAATCACGAATTTGGAACAAATTTACAAAGCAGTCAGTACGGAGTAGCTGAAAAAGTAAAATGAAGTTGAAGTCGAAGTAAAAACCGATCTCACCCATTTTCCATATGAAGGGGTGCACATTCGGGATGGCTAGATTCTGGGCAGCAATTTGGAAAGTTTCCATCTGAATTGCTTGGAATAAAAACAAATAAGTTTTCACTGGAGAATTCGGCTAAATACCAGCAAGCTTGAATGGTGTGGTAGATGCCATGTCATCATAAAGAAAACGTGACCAATAAATAAAAAATGCCGAAACGGACATCGATGGATAGCGATGTGTAGATTGTGATCTAAAAGATGAATTCTCACTTTCATAGCCGTTAAATTGGCCACTATCAGAAGTATGCCAATGTGGCCCTTATGGGAATGCGCCGTGCACGAGATCAACAGCTTATTTTTAAACTGGGAGAGAGGAGGTAGATGGCAGTACTGTGAGGAAGAGACTATCCAGGAAAAGGATGGATGTACTGGATTTTGGACAGTGATTTGATGATTTTGATAGAATTCAATGTTTCAGAACCGAGTAGACATAGAGTACTATTTATTTATTTATTTATTCATTGATTTATCTATTTACTAGTAGTTTAATCGATACTGTAAGTGTACAGCACTCTTTGTGGGAGGCCCTGAAATGACTGCATAAAAAGTGGCATCGAATCTATCGATATGAAGTGCCAGGTTCCTTTCGGCAATCAAATGTCCTGACTGTGCCGCGCATGTGACTAAGATATACATTTGCGGAGGTAATTGCAGGGGTGCTCTCCCTAGGCCTGAGTTCTAGGAGGTTAACAAGCTATAATTTGAAATTTTCATTACTTTTGATGATTTTCAAACCAGATCGTGTCAGTCTTGAACATAATGGCAAAAAGCTAGGCTGTTCTTGAAAGACCACGATTCAAGATCTGGTTTTCAATGATGTCTGCGATAATGATAGTAGTTACTATTACATCTGCCCGACACCGTGCGAGTCTAAAGACTTTTCATATCGAATGAGACGTTTTTCAGAGACCATTAGTGATATTCCGTTTTCTTGGAAGTTTCGGAGCTTGGAATAGATGTCAATGGGCCAGCAATTGTAAAATAGTCACTTACCCAAGCAACTTATATGTTACAAAACTTGGATCAGGAAGACGAGGATCATCAGATACGGTAGACCTTGGAGAGGAAATTCCTAAACGATGAGCATGTATGAGCTCTTCAGAGTTTTTGAAAATCGGAAAAATTCAAGAAAAGCCTTACCATCGGCATAGTCAGGAGGTAATAGCCGTTGAAAAGCATTCATAGCAGATCCACTGTATGGGTTGAATACATTGTTACACCTAATGAAGTTGTACTCCGTAAAAGTTCACGGATCCAGTAAAATTACTCGAAATAAAACAATTGAGTAAAAGTTACATTCCGGTGATCGATCGATATTTAGAGACTCTGCAAGAAATGGGATGCAACGGGCACATGGATTCCATTGCTTCTACGGTCTTCTGCGAAACGCTTCCTGAGTGCCGTCTGAAGAATCACATTTTTTTCTTAAGCCTGTCTACCTTAATAGTCACACACTGTTCAATCTAGTCTCAGATGAGCTGTATATTCGACAATCGTTCAGAATCATTCATTCAGTTGAATGGGCAGTACCGTGATACGGCTCTTTGGGGTGTAAAGGTGAACAGATCGGTTCCTTGAGATGGTGACACGTGACTGTTATACATACATGGTGCGCCGAACAAATCCCGGCTCGACACTGGCCTAGGCCGACCAAGCCTTTCAGTCTGAAGTCGGGTAAGGTCTACTAGACTCTTCTGGGATCTGGGAGGATCGAGTGGCCACCTCAAGTTATCGTGGAAGCCGCATACGCATTCAAGCAGCTACTTGGATCCTGGATGGAAGTCGAATGCAGGTGCGTATCCCAAGACGCATCCCTAGAAGAAAAAAAAAACTTTCACTTACAACTTGTAAGTTGCTCTTTCCGCTACTTGGGCAGCAAAACTCCTCGGTCGAAGCTCCGCCGTCGATTTTGCATGCGTGAAGTATTCAGGGAACTCAAAACCTAAAACAGTCCTCTGTTTATCCATAGATATTTCGCAGATTTGGGACCATTTATACTTTTCAAAAGGGCAGCTGTTTCACTACCGACGGCTCCAGAATAGTTGAAGAGCTGTCCAACTTCATTGAAAGCATCCATGATGACATCTCTGCTTTGGGCTGAAATAGTTTGTGTTTTGTCCAAAATAAAAACAATTTATCAGTTTTGTGAAGTCCCAAAACATGCTTGACAGCCTTTCGTAGATGGAAAAAATGAAAGAAAACTCAAATAAATGAAAGAAAACTCAAATAAAAAAATAAAAGTGTAGTTGTGTAAAAATATAAGATAAAACTCGGGAGTTTCCACTTTCATGGATTGGTTATTGATAATTTTGCTCTCCCTCATGGGCTCTACCTTCTACTTGGTTGGCCTGGGTATAGTTTGGACCATGATTTCCGGCCCGTGGGTACGGTAGCGGCCTACCGCTGCATTCACTACTCGAGTATGGACCAACAAATGAGTACAGGAGGAGGTTGGATATTTCTGGAATGGGAAAGAAAAAAGGTCAACGATACCTACCAGTCTGTAGCTCGTGAACGAATAATACGGTTATGATAAGTCTCATTTTTGAAGACTGTAAGTGGTGAATTACTGTCGTAGCGTGTATGGAGCCGCTGTACACCACACAAGAGCTGAATACTATTAGTATAAATATCAGCTCTTACACTTGAATGATGGTGTGGGGCGGGTAGGGTAGAAGTTGGAAGCAAGATTCTAACCGGTTGCACATTGATGACTAAAAAAGAGCTGTTCTATTCTGTTACTGCTAGACACTAACCTAGATTCCGATCTCATTATGTGGTGTTTTATGCCGAGCTCATTGCACCGACCAATAGGTTTACAATAACCGTTTACCTGATTTCTTAACACTAGAATTCTCATCGATCAATCTTTCGAGATAGTTCGTACTGGCTGATTCTCTCTTTTTTTTTTGCTGAAATGCCAAGCGCACAGAGGCGTAATTAACTACACCGGAAGGAAGAGTAGATCTCATGAGCAGACCTGTCCCGGAAAGGGAAAATCAGCCATCAAAATGCTGTTGGATTAGTTTTTGGAGCTCGGAAAAAAGGAGTCGAAGACTATGTGGCACGTTTCGTTCCCTGGGGAAAATGCCTCTACAGCAATGAATGGAATATCAGAGTGCAGGGAAGGAGAGGAGATTGTGAATCATAGCTGTTGTAGACATAGTTCCAACTCGACACTATCTCTCTAATATTTACGATTAAGATTATTACCTTGTAATTGCTTTAGAATGCTTGGAGTATTCCGAAAAATGTTAAACAACTTGGAAGGGAAAATTCTTGGCGAAAGAGTGTAACCCCCTGAGAAAGCATAAATGAATTTTGAAGCATCCCTTTACGGGACAGGTAAACAGTTTTGGAAGAAAAAATCAGGAAGAGTAAACAAGTTAATTCAACTATTCCTTGTCGGATTCCATAAAAAAAAGCATGAAGTCTTCGGACGTTACCCGATCCCATTTTGTGATCCTCGCCTTCTACTTCCATTCAGATCGTAGGGGTTGTTTGATTGACCTACACAATGATTTGCGGTGGCCACCCGATTTTCAAGTCAGTGCTTTTACCCTTTCAAACGTATCAACCGGCCCTAGAGAAATGAAGGGTTAGTGAGACTGGGCGAGTATCGATCCGATACTCATTCCTTGCACCGTGACAGTGCATCACTTGAAACTGTACAACCCACTTCGAACCTTTTGAAGGATCACAAAGAGAGAAAGAAGAAAAATAGAGTGAGGCAGCAAGTAGATGTATATACGCCTTAATGGAACAAAACACTTGAAGTTACTCCCGGGAATGTCTTAGCCGCCCAACTCAGTTACCCTCTCACTGTAGAGGAGAATTGTTTACTGACGAATATGATCCCCATTACAATCGCTCCTTTCTATTCTTACTTCTTAAAGCTGTTCCTGCTCACAGCTCCCTTTACTCAATGGATTTTGCGCCCTAAACTAATTCGAGTGCCACTTTGCCAATTCGCGACCCGCGTCGCGCCTGTCGTCATTATTTGCGACCCTGGATTTGAGCTAAATTGTCGCCTTGCTCTTATTTCAACAGGTTACTCCGTCTGTTATTTGGTGGGACTTCCCATATTTGCTTCATACTATGGTGAAAGTGAAGAAGACGAAGAAGCCGTCATCTGCTGTTAATACTCAGTGTAAGTCGTACAAAATGTAATTTGGTTTTATAAATGTATAGAATGTTTGTGATTATTTTCGTTACAGCCCTTCCCTTCAATACTGAAAAAGGCCAACATATTCTGAAGAATCCTGGCATTGTCAACTCTATCATAGAAAAGGTTTGTGGCCCTTCAAATTGTACTCTGACTCTCGTAATTCGCTTTTATCTAACTTACTTACCAAGTTCTCCCTTTTGCTAGTTGTTTTTGATTTTGATTTTTTTGCTTTCACCTTTACCAATCATTTTCACAGTCTTCCGTACCTATAGGAATGAACCTCGGTGATTTAAACAATTTATGACAGCACCAGTATATTGCCTTGTTCAGTATGTAGATTTTGTTTTAAGAATTTTTCCCTCTTGTTATATTGAATTGGCTTTGCTTCCATAATAAGTGCTTCCTTATTATTTTTGATCGATTCGAAAGGTACTTTATTTAAATTTGTCCTTTTTTAAATTTTAGTCCGCTCTCAAATCAACAGATACTGTACTAGAGGTGGGCCCGGGTACGGGTAACCTAACAGTGAAGATGCTTGAAGTGGCGAAGAAAGTGGTCGCATATGAGATTGATCCCCGCATGGTGGCAGAATTAAAGAAACGTGTCATGGCCACGTAGGTCTCTAATTATTCCGTGATTCATTTCTTGATAAAAACTGTCACAATATCCATATCCGAGCTTAACCCTATTTCAGCCCTTTGCAAAATAAGTTAGAAGTTCGACATGGTGATGTTATGAAGGCTGAATGGCCATTTTTTGATGTTTGTGTCGCAAATCTGCCATATCAGATCTCGTCTCCCTTTGTGTTCAAACTGCTTCTTCAACGCCCTCTTCCAAGGTACGTTTTTAGTCTCACAAGCTGTAAACTTGCAGTACATTATGAGAAGACTAATCAGAGTGTTTTTTTTTGTTTTCGTACTTTTCCACATTTTGGAATAGCGACCCGCAATGAATCAGCTAATGAAGTCTTTCTGAGGAAAGTGGAAAATTAATTTTGGTTGTGTCCTCATACGCCATGAATCCTACTCTAATTTCATTCTATTTTGCTACTAATTTCTTTTTACGCTCCACCAATGCCTTTGCTTTTTTATACTTAATTTAGATATTCTGAAATGTTTTGTAGGTATGCTGTGCTAATGTTCCAAAAAGAATTTGCTGATCGGTTAATAGCAAAGCCGGGTGATAAGGACTACTGTCGATTGTCTGTGAATGTTCAACTTCTTGCGAGGGTTTGTATGCATACATTTTGAGTACAATGATGCTGGTTCCTTATCTTTTATGTTTTCCAACTCTTATGTCTTCAGGTGGAGCACCTAATGAAAATCAAAAGAACGGAATTTCGTCCTCCACCAAAAGTGGACTCAGCAGTAATTCGAATCGC